CCGAGCCGCTCCTTCCTCCGCAGGCCCGCCGGGGCGATGACTTTCCAGTGGACGGCAGTTGCCGCCTTCCTGTACGGTGAAATAGGAGTCATTCTGGTGCTCTGCCTGCCGTTCGTTTCTCCGCTGAGGTAGGACTTGAGTGTGCTGGAGACCCCCAGCTCCATCTTCTCACCGGTTTGGGTTTATTTTACATTTTTGTTTTTATAAATAGCGAGTTCTGCTGCATTGTAGACTAGCACTGAACTAAGCCAAAGGAATGCTGTTCAGGACTTGAGCATCAGGAGTTTCAAGAATCATAAGCCTCTTTTAAGGAGCTTTATGTTTGCGTTACGCACACTGCTGATTCATCGGAGCAGCAGCAGTTGGGGTTCCCAGCATGAGCCCCGTTGCTTTGCTTCGGCAAGTGGGATGTCGTCTCCTGGTCTTCCCTCGGGGGGGGTTTTAGAGTAGCCAGTGTGCAGGAGGACATCTGGCTTCCCTTGCTGTGGGCTCAGTAAGAAATGAGAGGACGGTGCAGCCTTTTCAGGAGTTGTTTGTCAAGTTTGTGAGGAGCAGCTTTATGTTTTGGTGTGCACTAGGCATTGTGGGTGCTGAACGGATAAGAGAGATCTGATATTCGAAGCTAACGGCATACAGCATGTATAAGGGGGCCGTAAGAAATTTGTGATCGTTTGCTTTAAAAAATGCAGACTGCAGCTTGATGCAAAAGGTTCAGGACTACTGAAATAAAGGCCTCTATAAACTTACATATAGATTAACAAAGTAGTAACACTTCTGGATTGCAATACAAACATTAAGAAAAATAATTCATTCTTGTAAATACCCTTAATAAGCAAAGGAAGCAAAATGTGTTAATTACTGTATGCAAAGGCCTGGCTTACAACCTTATCTTAAGATGGTTTCCTGTAAGTAGCTCTTCAAATTTGGTAATGTTATTTTTGTTTCTTTATAAAAAATAAAGAAAACTAGCTTTTCTACAAGAAGCATGGGAAACAGAGTTATGATTTCTTTCCTAAAAAACCCCTAATCCTCCAAAAAAAAAAAAACAAGTAGGATGAAACCTTAAAGCTTTTCCAAAAAATTGCCGCTGTGTCAATGTTGTGTAAAAACTGTTATATGTTTGTTTTCTGGATCTTTAGATATATTTAGAATGCAGAATGCAGCTTTTACTGTAATACGTTAAGGAACAAAATCCTGCAGTTTGGGGAGTCTGAATTTAACTACCTAAACCTGTGGGAGAGTCTCTAAAATGGTTGGATTGTCCACAGCTGATATCAATGATTAGTCATGTTTCCTCAACTGCAGAAGTTGAAACTGTTCTAAAATCTAATTTAACCTTTGATTTTTTTGTAAGCTGGCTTGTGAGGAGTTCTGCATTTCAACAAGACTATTGAGTTCTTGTATCTTCTGTCGTTTTCCAATCAAAAGTGCAACTGTATGTAAGAAGGGAGAAGTATTATGGGAGTTGTAATCATCAGATTATTAATGGCTTATGTGAGGAAACTAGCTGCAAGAATTTCTGCAGGCTGATGACACATGCACAGTACATTGGGAGTATTGAAATAGGTTTCACTTAGGACATAAATAGGGCTTGAATCCGGTCTTTGTGGCTGAAAAGCAAATTCATAACCTGCGGTGTTACCAAAATTTATTCAAACATTAAACACAGTGCTTTTAATTATATACAAAGGATAGATTTTTGCCCTTGGTTTGTAGCATTCAGCTATTCCTTTGAACAGTAGTTTCTGAAAGAGCAAAATAGCTTTATCCTTTATGTGACATGTTCAATTATCTTGTTAACAAAACTGTCGCAGGAGTCTTGTGGGGCTAAAGATTAGGTTTAGCTGCTGTGACAGCACCAGAGGGCAGCAGTTCTGCCTTGTGCATCTTGGTGGCCTGGGAGCTGGTTCTGTCAGAGCAGTAAAGCATGCGTGATTAAAGACAGATGTGAAACTGCTGTTCTTTGAAGTTTTGATTTACTCGCTTGTCAGTCTTCAAACAGATTGTTTGCCTCTTTTGTGCCTGCACGTTTTTTGGATAATGAACTCCTTTTCAAATTTGCTAGCAAACTTTTAAGTTCCTGGGGAATAAGTAAATTGACAATATAAAAATGCAAGTATGCAAAAAGAACTGTACTGCCAAGTGCGGTACATCTATAGTGGTAGACAGTATTATAATTTGGAAGGATTATATTTATGTGACTTCTGTCACTAAAAGGAAATGCAGCATTAATAAAGGTGAATGTCGATACTTGTTGAGGAAAAATAAGCATGAAAATATAATATAGGAAGACTTTGCAGTAAAAAGATCTTATTTTTAGCCTGAATATAACTTGGCAGTATAGTTGGTCTAAGGTCATAACTCAGAGAATCACTTGTTAAGTGGAGATCAATATGAAACTTGGAGAATTGCATGTTTAAAGAGTTAGCAAGTTGGCTTCGTTTGAATTGTAGCTTGGTTTAATTAAAGTAAGCTTTTTGGTTGATACAGATTATGGCTGTCTGCTATAAAGAATTCAGATTATACTAAAAGATTTAAATGAGGTTTTTGCACATACAATGCTAAAATATTTTCATTCTTGCTGGTGCAGAACCAGAAGGAACCGTTGGAGATGATGCTACAGTCTAATCTAAATTAGGTTCATAGTAGGTTGGAAACTGCTTTGTTAAAGGACAAATTTTAACAGTCTCTGGAAAATGTAAATACTCTTAACAAAAGCTGGAAATTTTACCGGATGTAATCAGATGGTGATTAGCACGGCTGTGTTACATCCCTAATGGCATAACTAGGTATTACTTCATTTTTGCAGTAGCACTGATTCTAACCTGCAGCAAAGGACAAGTAGCTGCTCTGTTGTTGTCTCTTGTGGGTTTCGGTTCATTTGAGCACATCAGATGTTCTCTGTTTGTGCCATGAGTGTGAATTCTTGTAGAGGCCTCCATGCAGTAATGTTGAATAGGCAATTGATTGTTTAAACAAAAAAAAAAAAGACCCCCACCATTGGGTCTCTGAAGTTGCTTCCTTAGCCAACAGATTTATGCTCTTGAAAGAGATTTTAACACTTGACAAAATATAAACATGAGACTTGTCCTTTTTGTTGTCATTTGCAAGTTAGAATGTAATAGCAATCCTTGTACTTTATAATTATGCAGATTCATCAATGTAAAAAATAAGCCTTCTGAATAAGGATGATAGAGACAACCTTAATTTGTGGAGGGTTCTTATTTTATTTGGCAACAAGGAGTATAAGTGGGTAGAAATAAAAATAATGGAATGGGTTTTACAGTCTTTACCCCATTGTTGAGTTTATTGTAATCAGGACTGAACACAAAGTAATGCTAGCCAAAGTAAAAACTAAAACAAAACATATCTGGAGAGTACCTCCTATCATGTGAGAAGTTTTCAAGTTGAAGCAACTGTCTTTGCCTGTATTGACAAGAAACAAGCAAGTTGGATTGTTGGAAGAGTTACGTATACCTAAATTATATTGCAATTAAAGTAGCTGTTTAGAGACCTTATGTAAGTCTCATATCAATAAGAAGGCTCTCTTCTGTGAGGTTATTATGCTCTTCTTGTAGTGTTTAACTACCTTTGAATAACACAACGCTATTTTACAGATGGCAGAAGATTTTTATGATTCCTCTATGGAGCAAAATGGCAGTTTTTTGGAACAAGATGTTCCTTACAATAATAGTTTTACTGATCGTCTTGTTTCTTGGTAAGTGTTAAATAATTTCTTAACAAATGGGGAAAAAAAAAATCCTGATCTGTGGAATTCATGATATATAGAGCAGATTAATTGGAAGGATTCAAGCCTAATGTAAATCAGCTAATTTGTTTAAAAGCTCTACAATAGAATGGAAGAGGAGAGGGCTTATACTGCATCTATGTTGGGAATCCAAATGCAATAGTAATATAGCAGTGAATGAGGAAGAAAAATGGAGCTTGGTCTAGGCTTCTGCTTGGTTTCACTTTCTCACACAAGTAAATGAACTTGAAATGTTTGATACCAGAATTTGGCTGAGTTGCCCAATGTGCAGTAGATGGCACTCTTTCTCTTGGTTGCTGTTGAAACAGAACAGAAGAATATATCAAAGCACTGGGCTATTTGAGTACTTTTGTGCAGCACAGATACAAAACAGCTGTTGGCTACATTTGTTATGGTCCTAAGGTCTATCAAGATCCTAAGATCTTAAGGTCTATCAAGTAGGAGTAAAGCTTTAGTGAAAGTGGAGCTTGAATGACAACCATATGCCTGACTGATTTCATTTAATGTCTGTCCTGACTGCTTTGTGTGGTAACTATCGCCTGTATTTCGTTGATGGAAATAGTTCTGTGTTTCAGTGACAGAAGTTCTTCTCCATGGATAGAAGTGTTTCAAGCACCTTACAGTGAAAATGCTACTTAATTCCAAGCTGCTTAAAATACAAAGAAAAAATATGTGGTTTTATTGTCTGCTGAGAGAAACATACAGATGCACTACATATGTAACAAAGTCAGACTAGACCGCAATACTATATTCCTAATATTAAACAAGTACTGGAAATGCAAATAAACATTTTTTGTTCTTGTTCTAGATGGTCTTCAGTATTATCTTTAGAAGTAGATCCTTCAGTAAATGGCTTAAGATTGAGAACCGATGGATTTAATTTACTCTCCTTGAAAACCAATTGAAAACTTTGACCAAAGCTTGCTTTTGAGTTGGTGATGATTATTGATTTTGTGGAAAGATAGATTTGGGCTAAAGTAAAGCAGTGGCAAGATGCTTGCCCCATAACATAAGATGATAGGTTACTGCAGAACTAGAATCTTCCCATAGCACAGGGATATGGACTTTTGTTTGGTCTTAGTTTTTGTTGTGTTGTTTGAAGTTTCACTTCAAATATTATTTCCCCCCCCTTCTCTCTCTAAATAACTTGTGAATGTAAAAGAGACAGTCATAAGTGATGTTACTCTCACATGCTTTTTAGTGGCGTTGATTTTGTCTGCTTGAAGAAATGCAGCAGCAATTTAATAACACATGGCCAAAATAATCTGCAAGAACTGATGATGTGTCATGAAATGTGTATTTTTGTTGATGTGCAGGAGAAGATTTTAGGTGCTCTATTGGCCTTAAGTATGTATGATGATCTTAAGTTTACAGATTGTAATATGAACTCTTAACTGGGTTAGCTTTTGTTTTTATGTAGACGTAAGTCCTAATTAATTATTTTGTCCTTTGAGAAGCGTTGGCAGAGTATTGGCCCTTCCGCAGAAGTATCAGGAGTATATGATGGATGAAAGGAAGCTGAAAGATGGATGAAAGGCAAATGAGAGAAAGCAGAGGCATAGCTTACCCCCTCTGTTCTGTTTGTGTTTAACACTGTGTTATGACGCTATTCCTGTTTTGATGGATGTTATAGAAATAATTTTTTCCCCTCTCTGATTCAAGCATGAAGTAGACACTTCTGTCATTACTGAAATACATGCTTATCTAACAAATGCCATATGAGGCAAATCCTTCAGAAGGCATCTCTTCTTTTTCCCTTCCCTTTCTGTTTTATCACTGTCCCCCAGCTGGATTTTAATTCAGTTGTCAGCAGTGACATTTTGACACTGTCTGTAGGGTCTCTGGTAACATTTGTAAAATGTGTTGCGTTGGCCTGATGGCTGGCTGCAAGTGTTGGAAATGACTGTTCAAGCATGTTTTGGGCATATCTCTGGAAATACATTATATCGCTTCAGTGATTTATCAAGACCTACCTTTAAAATGTATGGATAACGTAAGTGATGTCACTATTTGTCCTATGCCTGTTTGCTGAGCAGGAAGTCCAAATACATATTTCTAGTACTATGTCTGGTATATCATACACGCACAGATATGAATAAGAACAAACTGTTTTTGTTTGCAGATGCTGTTAGAGAAGTTAGGAAGTACTCTGCCGTTCATGTGAATGAGAAGGCTGCAAATATCAATACCAATGCATTTGATCATATTCAGATGAAACTGTTCCGATCGCAAAGAAACCTCTACCTCTCAGGTTTTTCCTTATTTCTTTGGCTGTAAGTATAACGTTTTTCTAATTTCCACATAGCATGTTTCTTACAGGAACTATCGCATGAAGTAATGCAACTATAAAAAAGATTGGAAGGCCGATTTCAAGAGATTAAAGAATTAAGTGTGAGCAGATTGGCTATAAGGCAAGTAAGATCAGGGAAAATAATACCTTGCAAATGTTTGAAGATTGGAAGGATATGTGAGCAACACATGGAAAGAAACATTTTGAATGTTTGAGAAAACATGTATTTTGCAGGAGAAGTTTCTTCAGGGAATACTCATTTCCTTCCTTAAACTTATGCCCTATGTTTTGTTTGTTTTGAACACAGAAAACTGGAATAAAAAAACCTCAAAAACTAAAGTACTGTTAAAATAATCTTAATATGTTGCAAGAAGGTATTATTGCATCCTGCTGTGTTAAGAAGAAAAGCTTGAGTCCTACTTGAACCACTTCATCTAAAGCTCAGTTAGGAACTGTAGGATAATGTTCCAGCTTTACAGGAGAGTTTCTGATATTATTTCAGATCAAGCACTTTGTGGCAACTGGCCTGCTATGATATTATGATCTTAAGTGCGGTATCCCTTTCAGGATGTTTAAACACGGCTAATAAAACAGGGTGATGGAAAGGACAGTTCTGTACTGCCCAGCAGTAGCAGTCAAGACTACCTGTGAATCTTCACGGTAGCCACAACAACCTGCAGATCTTCTTAGTTGGGCAAGGAGCACATGAACTAATTGGACACAGATAATGTGAGTGAATGGAAACAGACATGTTGGTCAGACAATTTCCTGTTTGTACATTTTTATGGTGACACTGGGCAAAGAATGCTGGCCCCCTTCTGAATTCCTTCAGTGAGCTCCTTGATATTGCCTAGATACACAAGAGGAACACAGAACGAGGAAATGCCTGGAGTCAGAGACTTCTGACAACCTTCTTCCCCTTGGAGTGATGTATGGCCATTTTAGCTGATCATTGAGGAGCATTGTACATAAAGAAGTGTCAAGGAAGAATTCATACAAAACTTGAGCAGGAAAACTTTGGAAAAAACAAAGGTGGCTGTAGCCTTGCACAATAGTGATAGGAATGTATCGTTTTCTTTGTCTTCCTTCAGAAAGGTTAAGTAAATATGCACAAGTATGTTTGTGATCTCTGCTCCAAGAGAGAAATAGCTGGATTGTGTCCTACAGTAGAGCTGGAAGCTGGTCCCCCAGGATCCTACTCCCACTCAGCTTTCACGGAAGAAAGCTTGTCAGGTGGCCCTAGTAGATTGTATTGTGGGTAGAAGTTCTGCTCTTGAAGAGGTTTGCTTAAGGCCTTTTTTTGGGCTGCTGGCCTTTCACCAAGATTTAGAAGAAATAAATGCTTCTACAGCAGTGGCTAGATCAAAGGACTTTTCTTAGTAGAGCCATTTTGCTTATCCATTAAACAGGCATGATGTCTGTCAGAGAAGGGGGGAAAAAAGTGTTCTTTGGGTTGCCTTATCCTACACTGCTACTGCCATCACCCAACCAAGTTAAGACCACATGTAGGTGTGATGGTAGTTGGATGCCCCTGCTTCACCCTTTGGGTCAGTTTTGATTCATTTTAGCACATCAACCAATAGCAGAATTCCAGAAGAGTGGTAGATGGAGATTCCCAAGATGAAGGAGGCTGGAAGCTTGTCACTTCTGGCAACACAACAAAAACTCTCCTCCATCTGTGGTTCAGCAATTGCAGAACATGGAGTACAGGTGAGGAAAATGACCTCCTATCAGTGGAGGTATTTGGGCCAGCTGAGCCTTCATCCACCAACTGTCTGCACAGAAAAGAGGAGGGTTATAGTTACCAGAGATGATAGTGGTAGGACGTAGAGAAGATGGAGCCAGCTCTTCTCAGTGGATCCACACAGGAATGACAAGAGGCAACAGGCCAGGAACCTGGGAAATTCTGACTTGTGGTTAAAGGTACCTTTTCTACTATGGAGAGCTGTCAAACACTGGAACAGGGACCCTGAAAGACGGTGGAATCTCCATCATTGGAGATGATGGGAACTCAACTGGACAAGCCTCTGAGCAATCTGCTCTATTTGTCCCTGCTTTGGGCAGGAGCTTGGACAGGATGACCTCTGGAAGCCCCTTTCAACCTATATGATTCTGTGATTCTGTTTTAGTAATGATGTTTTACTGACTCCTGACTGCTGCTTCTATAAACTAATAAGCAATAGTAAAACATACTAACCCTTGGAAAAGTAGTGACATGGGGACTTTAACTTTTTTTATTACAACCAAAAAAGGAAGAAAATGAACTTTCAATGAAAAAGCAGGAAGGAGAGCTTACTTTGAAAGCCAAAAGGTCTATTAATACACTTTCAGTTGCAAAAAAGCCAATTACTTGGATTTTCAAATTTCTTTTGAAGAGGTAGTTATATTACAGGAGTTAATTTAATTCAGTGTTGCTTTGGCCTTTCTTGATTCAGCAACATACTGCTTTGAAAGACTCCAGGATGAATAATGGAAGTAGTGGTGCAAAGAGGCAATCGCTAGATCAAATCAAGGGAGGTATTTGCAAAGCTTAGATCTGAGGTGCCATATGAGTGCTGACATTCATGCATGTTCTGATTTATACAGTATTGACAGAGTACTTTGAAGATTAATATGCTCACATTGCTAATTTGGTTCTTGTAAAGCCTTTTATAAAGTTGTCTTGGGTTTTTTTTTGTGTTGTACTCATTACCATAACATGTTGCTTGAGTCTTGTATTCGGAGATCCATCCTATTTAAAACACTAGGTCATGTAAGAGTATTTCAGCCTTTAAGCAAGCCTCTGACCCCTTAAAGGCTGTGGGTTTTTGGGAAGAGGGAGGTTCTGTATCAGATAAAAATCAGATTTTTAATGGATGAAAATCTTTTCAGTCTCCTATTTTACTATTATTTGTCATCGCTGAGCCTGGATGTTTTCCTTCAGGTGCTTAAACAGTCTTCGTGTGGTTTTGTTTTCACATCTAATGCAGAGGGAGAGAAAAAGGGGTTGTTTTGGGTTTGTTGGTTTGTTTTTTTTTTTAATTTGTGCTGTGAATTACTGTGCTGTTCACTGTGTTTCTTCACCAGTGTATTGAGACGTACTATTACCCTTCTTACTCAGTTGGCAAAAGGGATGGCATCTCACGCAGCTCTGGAAACACAAGTAAATGATGCTACTGAAGCAGCCAAAAAATACATGGCGGAGAATGAAAGGCTGCAGGAGGTATCTTTGAACTTTTTTAGTTATTTTCTTATACAGCAAGTAGTTAGTACAAAATACTCTGGGGATGGTTTGCTGCTGAATAATATTTGCTCATTTTTTTTCTTCTGGTGGAAAAAGGAAGAGCAATGTTCTTAAAATACCTAATTCAGAATACTGAATGCAAATTTCAGTAGCATTTTATTAATAAGGGAAACTAATCCAAATAAATGAAGTTCTGTCTTTCCAGTACAAATTTCATCAAAGTAGTAATATATTCTTAAAGTATCTCTTTGAATTTAATCATAGCAAAATAGAGGGAGACAATTTTATTCTTTTTGTCCTAAACAGTTGGCTATTTAGGTCAGGGCTATAGCAGTCCAGTACAGAAAAGCCTACAATATAGCTGCTTTTGTGCTGGCTGTTTCTTCTAAATTTTGGATTTGCTCCAGTCCTGAAATGTCTTTTCTAACTTATAAAATTGGTCTATTGTATTTATGGTATTTTGTATTCTTGCATCTATTTTTATGGTGGGTCGGCCAATTTCCTAATACCTTCCTTTCTCAGTAAGGCACTGCCATAGTATTAATGAGGATATTACCAAAAATTTTTTACTTAAAAGAATCGCCAATATATTATTTTTATGAGAAGAATGGAGAAAATTAAGCTATCATTTGTCTGTTGTGGTTCAATCTACAGTTGTATGCAGGAAGGGAAGTCGGCAAAGATAATGAAGATAAATGTATGAAATCTTTTCTCGTAATTGGTTAGTTTGACTTCTGTTGAAAGAGATTGAACCATAAGCTAGAGTGCAGATGTCCAGGGTATGAAGACTTATACAGCATTCTTCAGTCTGGCACATTGTCAAAACAAAATTCACTGCAGGTGTGTACAGGTTTTTTTCCAGTTTGTCTGGAGCAGTGTCTATGGTTACCAGCACTGTAAATTTTTTGTAATAAATCTTCAGACAAAGAGAACAGACTCTGGACAAAAAGTACTAGAAGGGATGCAAAAAAATCCAATTGTTTGAGAGGTGTCGTAAAACAAGGATCACTAGAGTATGTGTTAGGTGTTTCCCAAGTATGAAATGATTCCAAAATTTTGGGATTTGGTATTTTGTGAAAATAATCCAGACTTCCAAACTGCCTCCCTCAGCCATGGAATTTGTCTCTTTGCTGCATACTGGTACTCCCCCCCCTGCCCTGTCCTGTTGGGATTTGGCCAAAAGTCCTCTTTTTGTTCTGCTTTCACATTCTCTTAGCAACACATTCTCTTAGCTGCTTGCAAGTGATAGCCAGAAACTGGAAACTGTATTCCTGTCTGTTTCTATTTGTGTGTTTGATTGCATGGTTTGCAAAAACAGTGGTAGTCACAGGTACAGACAGCATGCTGTGGCTGGATCTCCGTTGTGCTGGAGATGCAAAGTGTTCAGAATTGGTTTATTTTAACTTTATAGAGATACTATGACAGGTTCCTCTGTGGCTTGGCCCCTGCATTTGTGTTCATTTAAAAGCGTGCTTCATTCTACTATCAGGGAGAGGCAGGAGCAATTGCATATAGGGCACTGGCTGTAAGTGTAAATACTGTATGTTTACTCTAGTGTGCTAGGTCTGCACTGTCTCCTGTTCAGAGGTTTCATGGAGCACAGGACTCAGGATAAAAGTTTACAGAAAAAACTATTTGTGTATTAATAGAAAGAGGGGAGCACAAAGTAAAGAAGGCAATCTGTGGCCGATTTCATGACAAATTTGCTATGGTTTTGTTACCAGCAGTCAAATGCAATCTCTGCTCTCTGGTTAAATTGCTTCTGGAAAATTTTCTTCAGCTCTTGTCTTTGGATTGTTTACCAGTCTTTATAAACAGTTCTTTTCCTTTTTCCTAAAGTAATCTTCCCCTCTGCTCCCACCTGTGCCCAGTAAACTCTGATGTCACGAGTTCACCTAACAGCTGTTCATCTCAGTTGTTCTACTTTTCTTTTTCCCATTAAGCATCTACCACTTCTTTTGCCATTTTCGTAACAGAGATGATGCTTGATTGGATAATAGAGGCTATATGAGCAAGGGGTCTAATTATGGGGTCTAATCCTTAATGTGTAATACTTTAAGTCATTAATAGCAGTTGCCTTAATGATAAGAGTGTGCATGAGTACAGTACTGCCAACATTTTCAGAGTACAGAGAATATAATGCTTTTGTGTCTAGTATTTACAGGGCTCTTCCTGAATCCTTTCCTAGTTTTTTCTTGAATTTCAGTGGAGATCTAATCTGGGTATTGAGGTATTCTGAAGATTGAAGAAGTAGCTGCAAACCTACAAGGAGAGATTTGTGGTGTACTACATGATTTAAATCAGAATAAATTGTTAGAACAAGTTGCACATAAACATGGCAATGTTCTGTCACTTGCAGTCCCAGCATATGTCTTCTGGAAAAGCCATTTATAACCTAAACAGAAGTTGTGGGCTTGATGCATAGATAGTACTCTTACACAGGAGATAATGCCATACTATTACAAGTATGCCATTACTATCAACTTAAAACATTGAGCATTTTTTTTTTATTTTGTTTGTTTGTTTTTTTCCCCTAGAATGACTGAGTATCTGCCTGTTTCATGTTGGCACTTGATAAAACATGTCACTTTGCAAAATCAAGGCTGACATTCTCTGGTTGTTTGATATTAATGTCAGACTAATGAAAACAAAATTAATTGTAGCAACTCTGGTTTTTAATAGGCCTTGAGTGAAAAAGGAAGCAGTAAAAGCAAAGAGTCAGCAGAAGCAACTGATAAAAAGTTGAAGAAGGAAGTTGAACATTTGAAAGCCGAACTACAGAAGACGTCAGATGGTAAGTATTGGTTATGACTTCTTTGCAATCAAGAAAAAGATGATTTCAACACTGGATGTCAAAAATTTATTCTAGGCATAGCATTAACTACATCAGTTTACAGAACACTTGGCTTGGGGTTTCTTTACATTTGACTAGGAACTGGAAAAACATCCCCATATTTTAGTAAATGTTTTCATTATGAAAATGTGCACAGTGTAATTTGAACACCTTAGTTAAACTGTAATTGTTAACAAATTGAACTGATTTAAGTGGTGTTGACTTGTCTTTATCAACAACATGACCAGGATATGGAATCAATTGCAGGTTGCTTATAGGCATGAGATTGATCTTTCATGTCATACATATCAGCCACTCTCCCTGTATAAAATGGGGAAGTATGTGGTTGAGGTTTTTCCTATAAAGTAGGGTTTCGGTCAGATAGCAGAAAAGTCCTTGACTAGTATTCTGAATTTATGTATCTCCTGCAGCAGAGGTGTTAGCTTTTTTTTCTTAATTTTTTTGTCTACAAGGAAACATGCCTTGCAATTTGTAACATAATACTTTTGTTGGCAGCTTCCATGTTTAAGGTTTAGGTTGTCAAAACTGCTTTCTTGGCAACCCCAATTGAGATAGAAGCAGATTTTACCTGTTTGGTTCTAGTTTACTGGGGTCTGTCAAGGTGTGTGAACGCCTACTCATCTGAAATTAGTGTTTTTAAGATAACATTGCCTGTGACCTTGTAAGCATTAGTCAGATGTTCAGACTGTAACAAAATACAGATTTTCATGGTACCAGATAGCATGTTGTCATCAAAACATAGCCCTGCTTTCATATTGCATGGCACTGCTACAAAGCTGTAAAAATAACAAATATATTTCATTAATCATTTTTCATTGTCCACTGGGAAGACGAACGAGAACTGTAGAACAGCTGTTTTCAGCTGGGCTTGAAGCAAAAAGAATCTTTAAATAGAGGGTCTCATTAGTTCACATTCTTAGGCAGGTTTGATTGTGGGTTTTCCCTCTCCTGCTGTTTTCTTAAAGAAAGGGGGGAAAACTGCCTTTGAAGTGACAGGATCAATGAAAAACTTAAATGCATATGTTTTATTTAAACTAACTGGTGGTATGTAACAGTAATATAATGTAAGCTTTTCAGTGAGGAATGCTAGAGAAAGCTAAGGAATAAATAGATTTACCACATGCTGCTTCAGCTGCGTTCTCCCTGTGGGCTGATGTCCATCCAAAAGATGTATAAATTAAGGCATGCTTGAGTCTTTGGTTGGGGGGAAAGTGGGGGAGAGGGTCTTTTTAAGGAATGAATAGGAAAATATTTACAACTCTTCCCCTGATGCCATCCCCCTCACTGCCAAAATCAGAAAACCCCATGGTTACGTTAACTACCATCGTCAGCTAGATGGTGTTAAGGTATGTCTATCTTATTTTTTTGTAACTTTTCTTATATTTTCTAATATAAGAAATATTTTCTGATATTTCTTATTTTGTGCAAACTGATAGCCAGAAGGCTTAAAGTACTTGATAAATAGCCACATCTGTAGACACAGCTTTCTATGGAGTGTTAGAGATACAACGTGAATCGAATTTACTGTTTTCTTTTGAAGCTTCTGCAACTGAGCAGGTGAATGTTGAATTTCATGCTCACTAAGTGCGAGCAATGCATTACACACTATCAAAGTTGAGATTGAAAAGCTTGTTTTACCTCTTTTTAACAATTTGTTTCATGTCACTGATCTCACATGATTAAAGTAACCTTTCCTTTGTATCCACAAAGTCCAATCCATGAAATTTTGGGGGTATTGGGGGGGGGGAAGGGAGTGAAGAGTGTGAGGGGTGTGACCTAGTAATGAAACAGGGCAAAACTGGTATAAAAAGGAAAACTTTACTGGTTTTGTTTTTTGGGGCTTTCTTTTTGTTTGTTTTCAGCTATAGTATCAGTAAGAGTTATAAATTTGGATTTTGTTCTTGTTTGGTTGGGGTTTGGGATTTTTTTTTTTTACTGCTTGGATGAAAAAACAAATGTAGTCTTTTTCACAGAGCAGTTTCAAATATCCATTGCTCTGGTGTGGTACATTTAAGCTACTTATGCATGGTGATAGGTTGATATATCACTTTATAGTAGGCCATGTGTTGAAAGGTGGGTTGCCTCAGTAGAGTGGCACCCAGGAGGAGTCCTAAATTTAAGTCTGCTTCACATTTAAATAATGCAGCTTAGTATCAGATTAGTGCCGTGACTTCAGGGGAGATCCAAATTTTCTGTAAGGTTTTGATCCAGTATTTACAACTTCTGGCAGAGAAAATACTGTATGTCTTCTCTTTCTGAAATTCTGGCTGAAATTATTGTGTAGACAGTGATTGTTGCAGACTTTCAGGAGACTCATCTTTAGTTCTTCAGCTTTCTACCTTTTAGAGGAAATGCAGTCTACCTTATTTTTTTTGTCCACTTAACCGTAAGTGAAGTCCTAAGTTACGAAGATGTTTTGCCACCTACTGTGCTCTGGTCAGGTGGGGAGGAAGAGTGAAAATACAAGACAAAGACTGAGTAGTGAAATTACTAAAATCTGAACAAAGGTTGGAAATGAGTGACAAAGCTTTTAGCCAAATTTGTTTTCTTTTCAGACCTGACTTTCCTATCCCCCTTAATGCCCTTTTTTGCTCTGTTTGGAAGTGCAGGAAAGGGGGCTAGTTCTTCACTACTTTATTGCAGACCCACATACTGGGGGCTTTAGAGGCACCCAGCAGTGGGGCTAACACTTTCAGAGCCTAAATCCATTTTTAGCATACCTGGACATGTAATAACATGACTGTTTAGAAGCCTTCCAAGATGGTATTTTATTGATACACTTGTATATTATGAAAAATGTCTCACTGATACCTAGAAATAAATATACATACTCCTAGGAGCACCCAGTGTAGATGTGAGAATGTTTCTCCTGCTACACATTAGACATAATTTCTAACAATGTTGATTCAAATAATTAAAGGCTCTCAGTATGGCTGCTGGTTTCAGACGTATAGGGATTTTCTGGGGAAAGAAGATGCTGTGATATTGTTTCACTTTGATAGTTTTGAAAATCATCCAAAAATCTACAAGAAAACAAACTATCTGCAACTGGAGATGACATCAGTCATCAGAATGAGAGAATTTTCATAAAGCAGCTGTCCTTACAGTGATCCTTGGGTTGGGGGCAGGAACGGGACTTCTGGTGCGTTAACTTGCTTTTCTCGCTCACAGATCCCACGCTGTGGAAATGCTGATGTGTGAAATGTCCATTTATTATTATTATGGGACGCTTTGGGCAGGAGGGAGACTTCTGCAATGCTGTACTATTCCACTTTCTATCTCGGGTCATTTTTTTGGTGACACTGTCCTAGTGTATGGTAAAGGCTACAGCTTCATTTACACAGAACAACTAGTATCGATCAAGGCTTGCAGCAGAACACACTGGTGGCAGACCCCCGTCCAGCCCGTTGACCCCTCACTCTTCTAACAGTATTTCATGGCAAATGACACGCACCTGAAGCTTCTACCTGCATCTGATGGAGCATAACACGCATTGCAGTCCCCAGTACCTGTGTGCAGTTATTGAGCTGTGACCTTATTGCATCTTTGAGCTGGGTCTGTACTGCCACACCGAGACAAAACCCAAAGACCAGTTGTTTGTCTCTGCCATTAGGATTTCACTTTGTGAAATGTGTACTGACTCACCGAAGTCATTTAGGTGCTTTTGAACTTTAGTTCAACTTTTTCTGAAAATACTCTCTAGTTATATATATTGTCATAGGCCTACAGTGGGGCAGGAGGAAATTCTGATGAAACTTCCGTGCATCCTTTAATGAGGTTTGTTTTGGGTACAGAATGTGTCACGAGTGCTTTTTTGTTTCGTGCTTGCATAGTGCTGTAGGAGACAGGAGTAAGAGAGCAACCATTCATGTGGAGGGCTGGTTTTGAAATAGCTATTAATTGTTGACTATTCTAGAAAGTATGCAGGTACAGATGTACAACTCTGACTTAAATACTAAGATTATTAGGTGTTAGAAAGATAAACAATACAGACACTGGGAATACACCTCATAGAACTGTTGCTGCCAGTGAGAGTTCAGCTCGGCCTTTGTGTTGCCAGGCAGGCTAGTGCCATGTATGAAAACTGTATTTATGTTGAGCTCCACTGAAGTGCTCCAGTTTTCAAAAACAAACAAGAAAACCCCCCAAAAAACCCAAACTCTCAGCTTTCTTTTGTAAGCTGGGAATAGGAGATACAAGTTAAAAGAATTGGCCAGAGTCTCATGTTATTTAGCCAATGGCAGAGGGAGGTTTAGAAACAAAGTCCATCTTACTTTACTTTTTAACTGTGAGATCATAACCTTGGTGGGAACCATTGCACAATATCACATGCAACAAGAGCTGATATTCATATTTGTTGATTCGAAGGGCATGGTTTTGTTATACAAGGCCGTTTACGCCATCTGAAGATGCTGTAACATCCCTTTTGTAACAATTTCATTTCAGGTTGCAAAAGGTACTTGGAGCAAATTTGTGTGTAATTTTTTGGTCCTGCCTTCTCTTTTTAAACTTTATCTGACCACTACATCTTAAGGAGAGAATTCAGAATTAGTATGGAATTACTTGACTGAAGTTGTGTTCCCAGCTTTACAGCATATTTGTTGGCAAACCTCTTGTCCCATCAGTGCCTAAATTCTTAAATGTGAATAGTGCTTTCTCAATTTGAAGAATCTTAAAAGAGAGGGATCTTTCTTAGTCTTAAACTAGTCCAAATCATTTTGGTTTTAGACTTGTATTGTGAGCAATGCTAATTTAAGTTCCAGATCGTTTCCTTAGTAGCAAGCACTGTAACTCAAGTGATTTAGTCAGACCAGGACTAGTAGTTGTGCAGGGAAATGCCCAAAGAATCATTGGTGGCTTTTGTTGCTGTTTAGTTTTGTTTTACTGTTCAGTTCTCTACCCTTGTTGAAATGAAAAGATAATATAAATGCTACAGCTACTGGGCTGTGGTAGCCTCTTCAGAGCAATTTTATTCCTCATCCTGCTTCAACTTTAGAGGAATCTGAAGTAAACTATCTATCCTGGAACAGGATACAGAGAATGTGGTAAGGGAAGGACAGGTTCTCTACTTCTCCCAGACTGTACATGTTACATTAGTTTATGACCCTCCAGTCAGACATTAAATGTAAAGGGATAAAGTTTTCCATAAATGTCTTCTGTTGATATTCTGCCCTAAGGATATTCTGTTGATTTTTCTTTGAAGGGAAGTGATAGGAATGAAAAAGGATGGCCCACCTCTCATAGTACTGAGTCTGGATTCCAGTTTTGGGACTTACTGACTATTCCTCTCATTAGTTGCATTAACCTAGAAGCAGCATTCTCACCTCCTGCCTGCTCATGCATTTACTTGGTAGGAGCAATCAGCTGTTGGGTTTTGCTTGCGGCCAGTCCAGCTGTTCTGTCTTCTGTGAGGCAAAGTAACAGGCCAGATAGAAGCCAGAAATAACAACCGACTGTTTTGTGCACACAAAGGATCTTCTGTTTTCTGCTGGATCAGTGTTCATATGATACGATCCATATGACAAACAATATACCTGTACGATCAACTTGGCTGTGCTGCAGTGTTAATGCAATGGCAAAGTAGTTGAGCAGTGATGTATGGACAGTCTCCGTTGCTTGACAAGAAGACATCCAGAGAAGTTGGCGCACTGGGGAATTCATGTTGTCAGAGATGTGATGCTCCTTTTTATTGTGTGGCCCCAACAGCAATGAGTCTGGGTTTGGTGGGGTTGTTTTTGGGGTTTTGTTGGTTTTTTGGTTGTTGGGTTTGTGTGTTGTGTTTTTGGTTTTGTGGGGTTTTTTGTCCATAGCCAACACAGGTGGAAAGGACAATCTGTTCTTTGCTTTTTCATCTTCTAGGGTTAGGTGAGGTATTCCTGTCATACATCTGTTTTGGTCAAAACATTGAAACAATGCAGTGGCTTGTTTGCTTTCATGGTTTGCAGATACTTTTAGATATTTTGTTCATGTTTTAAAGATACAGTAGTTCTTAATTGCAACTAGAGTACTGTGCTGCTGCTTGTAAACAGCTAAATAGTATTAGATCAATAACATTGAGTTACAACTTCCTCAAAAAGGAGATATTGTTAGTATAACTAGCTATGTACAAGAATGTTTAAACAAAGGCAAAATTTAGCTTTCTAATTAGCTGATTCTTGAAGAGGCGAAATGGCATACGCATTTTTTTTTTGTCTACAGCTTAAAAATCAGAAGCTTATAAAATTGTCTCAAGTTGTAGTGATTTCCAATTACTGTTGAATATTTTAAACAGTAGCAAGATCAGAGGGAGAGTAAATGCAATGGGGTTTGACTTGTTGGATGTGTGGAAATCACGGTTATTCCAAATACCAAAACCTTTAGAAAATGTTTTTTGTATTGATGCTGTCAAGAATGCATTAGGATGAAGGATATATGTGTAAGAGTATGGAAATGAAAGAAAGGATGTAAAGAGATGGGATGAATTTTTGACCATGTTGGAATCAATAGACATAAGTGTAATTAACTTCAGTAGACCAGAATTCCAGGCTGGAAAATTACTGAAAAATCACTTGCAGACTTTTAAAATGAGAATGATTTTTGAATCTATACATTCAAATTAATTAATTAAAAATAGCAGAAGTGCTGGGGGAGGGAGTCTTCCTCTTTGCATGTAGGAGAGTGGTCAAATGTCTTGTGTCCTGATGTTTCAGGAACTATCTCCCAAAGTGAGCCATGATTCAGAGCAGAGTGCTTGTAGCTAGGTGCTTAACAAAAAGCACATCTAGCTCCTCATCTTTTGAGAACAGGATCTTACAGAGGTGCTGCAGTTCTTGAGAGTCTTGGAGGTCTCTGGGAAAGACCAGTATGTCTCAAGGAGCTCACAGTGGAAGGACAGATCCACATTTTTGGAACAAGGAAAATTGGAAATGTTTCTTTTTTATTTGTACCATCGAGATTTGTTTTTTTAAATGTGGCTATGTGAGGCAGCCTTATAGGTTGTTAACAACGTTTCTCCATTTTAGCATGAATAAATCAAATTTGGGGGTATGCCTGTGCTGCTACAGCAGAGAAATATAAAGATACCCAAGATACCTATAGCAAAGGAATATAAAAATGTCTAAATGACCTTACTTGAATGCTTACATAACAGCTTTATGAAACTGTGTGCTGATTTACCCTGCATTGTAAATTAGCCCCTGTGGAGTCCTGGGCTGTTTTGTACTGCAGCATAGACATGCTCTCAGTTTATTGCTGTTGAGATTGTGAGTAGAGTAATAATTGCTTTTTCTCATGTTAAAAACCTGTTCACAGTTGTATATCCTACCACCACCATTCTGCCTTCTCATCCATAAAGTGATGCTTCTAATGAATGAATTCATACATGGTAAAATATATAACAGGGTATAAAGGGGGAGAGTCTATATTCCTATAATAATGTATTATCTCTCTTTTCCTCCTGCCCCCCCCCATTTTATAGATGGCCTCAGTTGCTTTGCTAAAATCTTGTCCAGTGTTTTAGTTCCCTCTTTGTTTTAAGAGGACTGTCAGTTTTGGTTTTGGGGTTGTAGAGTTCTGTTTTTCTAGAAGTGTCTTCTGCAATGTGACAGAACACTGTAGTCGTCACTAATTTGTCACCTCTGTCAAGAGTTTATTGGTCTTGCCCTTACCTTTTTTACAGCCCCTTCCTGCCCCTTGTGCTGCTCTTCCTGAACACAAGTCATTCTCTTTCCCCTCCCTGTCCTGCACATCTCTTCCTGTGTCCGTCTGCGATGCTCTGTTTTAAACTTAAGCTTTCTTTAGGGGAAAGACTGTGTAGTGCAGTGGAGCCCTAATACATAACTAGGGCTCTGAGGAACTGCAGGAACACAAGTAATAATTAAAGCACTAATTCTGATATTTTACAGCTCTCCAGAAGGCAAATAATGAAGTGACTGCAGTTAAAAAGCAGTCTGAAGGCCTTAGAAGAGAATATGATCATCTGATGAAAGAATATGAACAGCTTCAGGTAGGTGGTTCTGGACTGCTATATGAGCACGATGTTCTGAAATTGTACCAGCAAAATTCTGCCTGTTGGGTATTTATTATGCAAGAGAATTTACTGAAATCTTTAGTACAGCATAAAGTTACAATGGGCAGCACTTCTGAAACTTCATCAAAATAGTAGAATTTTGTTTTTTTAAGGACTGGACAGCAAAGCTATTAGCTTTTTTTTTTTTGCATGTCAGGTGACAAAGCTCACGTCATCAATAGACTTGATTTTGCTGTCACTTGGGAAATAAGATTCAGATAGCTTTGCATGTGATGATCGAACTGAAATCTTGTAAGAAAACGATCGGAGTAGTGTGTGTATGGTATATACATCAATTATAAGAGTAATTTTATTTTGTTTGCTCTTTAAACATGCTTTTGCAATACTGGATTATAAATGTTGCAATACTGTTGATACGCAAGAACAAAAAGAAACAAAACCAACAAACAGCCTAGGCTAAGAACAGGCTACTATAAAAATTCAAATTGAAGTACAAAACAAAAAAAGAAACAAAGCAAGCAAAAGCTGAATTAGCAGTTTGATTGGGTTTGCATATGTGCATGGCTATCATACCCATAATATATACGTAATTATTCCTGGTAGAACTGGGAGCCCTGCTTGTTTTTTTTTTTTTAAGTTGTCTGGCAGGTGTTGGCGTGTTCCATGCCTGACGTCTGTGTCGGAATTCAACCAAAGTTCAATAAAAATGAAAGTTAGCCTGTCTACAAGTAATAGTCTTAGGAGAAAATACATGATTGATGTTAAAATTATGGTGACTTGCTTTTCAAGAAGAGCTGTTTGTTGGTCCTGTATTAATAAAATAAAAAACAAAAAAGGCAAATTTGAGCTGGTTATAATCTTGTTCCTGTATTCTGTGAAGCCACTTACTGATTACCAGCCTCACCCTATACTCTTACAGAGATTCCTCAGCTGATCTCTGTGTTCGAATTAAGACCACCATGCATGTCCTATCTTTGTTGTGCTTCACTGTGTAATGAGCCGTAGTAGTCTTGCTGCATTTCAAACAGTCTTGTGGTCTAGAACACACATCTTTACAGTTTTCTGTGTTTACTTCTGAACGGAAAGAACAGAAGGTACTGAGCACACAGTAGATGCAGCTTCTAAGGATAAATCAGCTGATAGAAAATGTTTCCGGCTGAGTTGCTGCACAGTTCAGCTGTAACGTGAACAGAGAGCAGAAGGCAGCTGCATGGCTGTGACTGTGGTAGGATCAGAAGCACGTGTTATGTGGGGTAGTATTGGTGGGACTACAGCTTTGAAGGGTGCATGGTGAACAAATCGGGTATGACTGCAAGGGGACAAAATGCGGCATCTGGAGTCAACGGTTTCTGATCTTGCCAAACATAAAGAAATATTTTTAATCTGTCTCTTTTCAGGACAGTTTAAATGAAGCAGAAGACAAGAAAGACCTGTAGGTGTATCAAAGACGGATGGCATCGGTGCAGTTGCTTCAATGTGAAAAGCCGTGTGCTGTTCAAGCTCCTAATGCATACCTGAAACAAAACTTGATTTTTCTGAAAAGCACGTGCACTGCAGGTCACTATTGAGATGCCTCTCATGTATCTTGGTTGCCAAAATATTCTGTGTTGCAAATAAAATGTTAAGTGGCTTGCCCGATTTACCATGGAGATTGTCACTGCTCTTGTGAGGAGAAACTTGAAAATCTTTCAATTCCATCTGGAGCAACTTGACTGTTCTCCAAGCTTTTGCCGTACAGAATGGTAACAGATCATGTACCACTTGCTTGTAGCATTTGAGTGAGGTTGTATGTCACTCTATATCATAAAAACACAGTTACCTAAACTTCCTTTGCAACACCTGTTTGGAGTCTTCAGAAATTCAGTTACCAGTGTGTTGAAGAAGGCTGAAAGCTTTTCATCAGCCATTCTACTTCAGTGGAAAATTGAGTGACAATCAATCTAAGGAAATAAAGAAGGAAAACTGCATTTCTAAATCCATCTCACTAGCTTGTGACTTTCACTTAGCCACATGGATGAGTGTATTTTAACAAGTAATATTTTGCATGGCTCTGGTTTATTTTTCTTTAATATATTGGGTTATTTCAGTTTTCATAACCGAAGTTTTGGGTTGGTTGGTATTAACATTCTGTACTTTTACCCTGTTTACATCTGTTTACTCTGTATGTGCCACCTAACTTCTTTTTGCCTTGCTAAGTAAAAATTCTTTTTAAATGTAGACAGTCGGGTTTGTTTTGGTTTTGTTTTCATGGATACGATACCTCGAATAAATGTGCACTGTTTTGCATAAGCCCTTTTTGGCATTCAGAAAGTTGTTTCGAGTTTCTTTTTTAGTTGGTTCCAGTTTATATTCGAAGGTTGGATGCGTTTGTTATATTAAAGGGATTGTTTAAGTTCATGAGTTTCTGGGTTTATTCGTGTAAATCTCTCCCAATATGCTATCTCATCAGAATTAATAGGTATATACACAAACAACAAAATGCACTTCTAACTTGGTGATGTTTAACTTTTTCCTGGAAATACAGCCTTCTTCATAGGGGTAGTTTTGATTGCTCTGGAAATAGGATTTGTTTATCTTAGAATATAAACGTAGCGTATTAAATACTATAAAGCATGTTAACATAGCATATTAAATACGATTGCATATGTTTTTAAAAAATACCTCATCCTTGCTGAAGTAGTACAGAATGTGTTCTCAGAGATTCTGCAACACTGGAGATTTGTTTTTTCATACCAAAACTTTCAGGAACAGCTACAGATTTTAATATCTGCATGAAATATTTGGAATTATGGCAGAATGTTATCTCCAGTCTGATCTAAAGACTATGGTTGGAAGCCTTAGAGGTATAACAAAAAGTGCTGTTTTTAAGAGACCTAAAAACTCACCTGTTTTCCTTACTTTAAGACCCAGAACAAAAGCAAATATTAATTACTTATTACTTCCTGTTGTTATCTACTCACTGAATTTCAAGCATTTCTTCCTATAGTACAAGTAAATAATTAGGTTGATAATTAGCAGCTTACAGTGAAAGATGTCATGCACTGGACTCTTCACTCCTAAAACTTTATGTTGGAAAAAATAACATGGAACAAAAAATGGGTAGTTGTGAATGTACTGATGGTATCAATACTTCTCCTTGAGAAGCAAGTCCCAATGCTTTACGGTAATTTTTGCTGTTGAGCATGACTGAAGTGTGCAGGAGCACGTGGTGGTATGTACGGCTCCCTCAGAAGCTGAAACGGTGCCTGGTATTTTTAAACGTGCAACATTCGTTCAACATGTGGTACTCACACGCTGCCCTCTGCAATCACATCGGTCACCTCAGCATCGCAGTGTCCCGCTGGCTGCTTGGAAGATGGGGATCCACTTCTTGAGAGATCAAGGAGACAACAGCTTAAAACAAAAAACCCCTGCATATCAGGCCACAGAGAATGTTTCCTTAATTGAAAATTAGAGATTGCTTAAAACCCTTTACTTTCTACTTTGCCTCCAGTCATTTCTTCTGTCATGTCTGTTATTTGTATCACTGGATTTCCCCGTCGCAGAGTAGAATATGTCCATCATCATTTTTCCACTTGTCTGTTGTGGATGGTCGCACGTTCGACTGCGTCGCGTTATCACATGCTCAGCTCTTTGGAGTCCCAGATTTGCTAACGTAAAAATAATCTTTTGTTACTCATGTTGAAAATATTTTGTAATATCTGCTTTGTAGAACTGTATTCTTGGAAAGAACATGTTTCTTTTATGAAACTAGAAGTCTAAATAGTACATCTAGAAATTCCAGTAAACGGCAAGTCTTTCAGAATATTTTGCATTTGCATTGTTTCACAGTACTTCATACGTGTTCAGAGTCTGCAGGAGTCTGGGTTGATCAACTTTAAGTACAGTTTTCTCTTTGGTAATGTTTTAAGTTATGGTTGATATACAGGGAAAGA